GAAAGTGACATCAACAGGACCGCCAGACATTAAGACCAAAATAGTTGGCCCCTTGGAGGCCGCTGCCACCTTTGATACGAGGTCTTGCTGATGGCCAGGCAGAAGCAAGCCGGTCCTGTCAACGGTTTCAGCCTCAATGGACTGATCTAAGCCCATCACCAGAACAGTTGCGTCGGCTCGACGGGCCGCGTCTAAAGCCCCTCCAAATTGTTTGTCGTCAGTGCAACCCACATTCACACAACCTAGCTGGTGAATAGTAGTCGCATATTTCCCAATTCCTTGCAACGGACTGGTATATCCGCAAGCAATACCTAATATAGAAGAGGGAAAAAATGCATAAGAACTTCGATAATTAATCATTATTGCCTGGGCTCATCAGGGCGGAAGAAAACTTAGTATTACCTGCATAGTTACCGATCATGGTGACGGTGACGTTAGAATTGGGACCAATGACAGCCACGGTGCGGTGACGACGTGGAGAGAGGGGTAAAGTAGGACCATCGTTCTTAAGGAGCACGATTCCTTGGGTGGCAGCTTGGAGGGCAAGATCCTGGTGCGCAGGGCTGCACACGTCTTTTGGACCCAAGTGACCGTATGGCTGAGCCGATGGTTCTCCGTCGAACATGCCCAGTCTCATTTGGACCGTTAGGGTATTTACGAGGGCACCGTTGACATCGGCTTCGGTGAGTAAGCCCTTGTTGACGGCGTCCTGAGTGTGCTGTGCAAGGAAAGGGCCGCAGTCCAAATCCAAACCTGCTTTGATGGAATCGGCGGCGGCCTCCTCGGGGGTTGAAGTATAATGTTGGTTGGAGAAGAAGACGCCGACGGAGTCACAGTCGGAGACGATGTAGCCATTTAGATGCCACTGCCCACGAACTGTTCGCTTCAGCAGGTTGGGGTCAGCACACGTGGGTTTACCATTCACCTGATTGTACGAACACATCACACTCGCCACATTCCCTTCCTTCACACACATCCTGAATGGTACATCGAACGTATCCTCTACGTCCTGTTTGCTAACCTGTCCTCGCGCCAAAATAATAAAGCTAACATGTGACTATATATGTCGAATGCGTTGGTTGATGAACATAATTAACAAGAATGGGGGGCGAGGCAGTACCAGAGCATTAAAGTGGAAGCGATCCATGCCATTCCAATTATCAAGATCATAAGCAGTAAAATGCTTGCAACAAGCGGCAACCTTCAACCGGTTGGCATCCGTTCCCTGTAACCCCCTCACGTAATGGGCCGCATATCTACCGGCTACGACGGGGTCTTCACCGGGAGTTTCCTGTCCACGTCCCCACCTGGGGTCCCTTAATATGTTCACGTTTGGGCTCCAGTACGTCAACCCTGCCGTTCCTCCGTTATACATTGCTCTTGCTTCGTCCGACACCACCTGCTTCATCCCACTTCTTAACTTACCCCTTCACATTACCAGTTAAAGACATAGACAAAGTGAACATTTTCACAAAAATTTACCTGTCCGATAGCCTCCCACAAGGATGCATTGAAAGAGGCAGCGGTGGTGATGACCTGAGGGAAGCTGGTGGCCGCAGGGAATGGCCCCACAAACTTGGTGCCGGGACCCACATTGGACACGCCATGGAGTGCTTCGGACCACCACTCGTACCCTTTAATCCCGAGCCGTGGAACCCCCGCCGCATTGTTCACCAGCAGCCTTACTTTCTCTGCCAGCGTCAGCCTTCCGATCAGATCCTTCACTCTCTCTGCCGTGGACAGCGATGTTCGGCAAAACGGCAGCGTGCTCGTGTTAGCGACTTTCGGGTCACATGCAAATGGATCACGTCCTTCTCCGCCCACAACAGCCAGAAGCATCAAACTGATACAAAGGATGCATGAGAAGGAAGCCATTGTGGGATTTGGAAATGCCTTGAGAAATTGGTGAATGACTCTGCTGATGAGAGGCAGCTATATATACACATATGTCATGTGTGGGTGACATCACTGTACTTCGATGTAATGGTGGAACTCCTTTCATGATTGCGCTTTCCTTTCTTTGGCGGTTTAAGTAGTGATGAGACAACTTAATTGGCTGGTGAAGTTTGAATAAAGTTGGTAGAATGAAGATGGATAAGTCCCGTGTGATTTCCCTTTAATTTATGAGGACCTACTGTTATACAAATATGACAGATTATTTGGTCAGTGGCGGGATATACGTTGTCCAAGGCATATTATTATTGGTCCACCTTTATTTGGTCTGTGTTCGAAATTTTCAGCTGCATTCCTTTCATAGTTCATATATAAGCTATCCTTTTTCCCCCCTTAAACTGTCTTGAGAGCAAAGATAGTGATAAGGCTTGGCACAGATATGTAATTTAGTTTAAACGCCACATCCTTGTTTTGTAGCGCAGTGAAAATGTTTGTTGATCGCTTAGTTAATGCTGGTTATTTCAATTAGTGTGAGAGAATAATTATTTTGCTCTGTTAATTAATACTGAGCTATACATGGTGGGAAATAAATAATTGATGTGCTTCGTAACATTAGACGGAGGGCCATAACTAACCTCGTGAGTGGTGGTTATAAATTGACAATGATGATTTGAAGAACAACAACATATAAAAGAAAGGAGGGATCGGGAGACGAGGTTATTAACAGGAGGGTTCATATGCAACGTAGGTTGTAACTAATTTTCGGTTAAGCTGTTCATTTCGCGGAGGGAAGTTCTGTAAAATGGACGAAAACTGAAACAGTGTGGGAGTGAGGTGGGAGGTTGAGTGTAAAACACATAACGGAGGAGGACTTAAAATTTAAAAACTGGGGAGACACGAGAAAGCAAGTGGAGTCGGGTGCACCCAAGTAAAACCCAGTTGGGATGCATCTGGGAGGCACTTGTGGGTCGAGAGTAGCTTTCCTTGCAAGATAAGGTCAAAAACAGAGCATTTTGCCTCCCAAACCCATTTCAAACACACGGCCATACACCAAGCCTGAACTTGCGACCTATTTAAAAGTATTGAGTCCTGTGTACATATTTGGACCAAAGCCCCGTTAGTATAGTGGGAGCAGGCAGTGTGAGGGGAGTGAAAACAGGGTTGCACTATACGCTTGTGTGGGGGGTTGGTGTTGAGCCACAGCAGAGAAGCATGAGGAAACCAAAGAAAAAGAGATAGGCGTGTGATACAAGTTTAGGCACCATTTGTGTGGGTACGTGATATAATGGGGAGTGACTTAGAGAGTACTTAAGATATACGTTTGAATGTATATGTACGTATGGAGGAATAGAGGAGCTGCACGCAATATATGGAAGTGCGGCATTCCAAGAAGAGCTTTACTTGTACGTGTTTGTGTACACGACAGATGACACCCCGCCCGGGGGGTGGGGGGCACGTATGGAGTCTTTGCGTGGGGACCACCTGCGATCTCATCAACGAGGGTCTTCTTCGAAGCTGTAAGCCTCCTGCTATTCCCCACCTTCAACCACCTTTCCAAACAACGCTCCCTTCGCAAGCTATCCTTCTCCTCCCACCTCCCTCGCTTTTCTTCACCTCCACAACTCATCTTATTTTAATATCTTTTCTTTACTATGCCATCTTATTTCCCATTTAACTACTCTCTCGTCCTAATACAGCTTCTTCTTCTTTTTCCGTTTTCAAAGAAAATGACACTGCTTTTCTTCCTATAGCAATAGATGCCGAACGATCTTCATACAATTCGGCAACTGAGTTTTCTTTTTTCACTGCTCTTTGTTTATCATAATACTTTGTTCTCGTGAAACTTGCTGATTAGGTTTGTTATTGTAATATCACTGGTTTTAATTATAAAAGTTAGTTGACTAATTTGAAAAGATTAAGAAAAAAGTTAAGTTAGTTATTTGTAATGAATAGGTATTGTCTTTCCTAAAATATCCTTACTAATCAAGTGTATTGGTTATAATTATCATTACTAAAAAGACTATTTTAGAAAAAAAATGCATAAATATAAAAAAACAAAGTAAATTAGAGTCTTATATTTATCATTAAAATAAAAGTCAAACAAGATCTTATATTAAGAATCGGAAGTAGAAGTACAAAACATTTGCTGTGAGAGAGGGGTGGAGAGGCAAAATAAAGAGGCTAACGCCCAATTATATGGCGATCGCAGTTGGTGCCTAATCTGGTTTCGGTCTTCTAAACGCTTTAATAAACCATCCAGATTATAAATCTCAACGGGCATCACCACTGATGTGATGTGAATGATGGGAACTTTATCTTCCAACAAGTGATTTCATTTGGTCAGCCGTGCCCATCCGTGTTCGGGATCAAATAAAGCAGCGAAGGCTATTCCTGGTATTCGGTATGGAAAATAACCCCCCGTCCATACATTCCTCTAATTCGCATTGAATCCGAAATTTTAATCTAACGGCCCATTGGGCTCACTCATTGAACGCGTCTCAACCTCTCCTTGAAAGTCCAAAAGCATTGGGCAGTAGGTCGCAGTACCTGTGAGTCGGTCCATTGAAATGGGCCCTCAAGCCCAGCTCAGTAGCTCCCCTCCAACGCTTAAACCCGACTATCACGTTATGAAGCAGAAAACTGCTTATTAATTAACGCGTTAATTGTTACGTGAAAGTAAAGGAGCTAGTGATGATTGCAGACTCACCGTGAGTTAACTAATTAATTAATTTGATCCCAAACACATAGGCATAGCTGATATATAAGTGATCGTGCTCCCAGCATGTTCTCTTGTGGTTTTGACCTGATATGTGGAAACAGAATTGCATAGTTTGCTACGATTGAAGTGTGCGGGGTGTGGCATCTAGAAGTTTGACCAAGGAAGAGCCACGTAAATCCAACACAAGCCGAGTCAACGAAAATTGGTTTGTTGTTACGCGCATATCAGCCTGTAAGACAGGGTTGACATTATCATCATCATTATTAAAAGTCAAATACTTATGTGTCACATGGGGCAAAAAAAAAAAAAAGGAGTAGCGCTGGCTAGCTTGTATTATAAAACAATACAATTGAATGACTACTGTACCCCAAAACTCTAACGATATAAAAATACCAATTAATAATAAAGTCACGCCTCTTCTTAACACATACCGGCACATCACTTGAAAACTTGGATTTCTTAAAAACTACTCAACCCTCTGATTTAGGCGACTAAATCACAATAGAACAAACGGCTTCCTCATCACAAATTACAATATTTGGAATTAGCATGTTCACCTCGTTAAACGAAGTTCAAGAGGAAGCACATTAACCTAGGTCTAAGATATCATGATCAGATACGTACATATAATTAAATTAAGGCAGGTCTCAGGTATCTCTAACTCTGGTACATAGTTACATGCATAAATAATGCCCAGGATGCTCCGCATAGAGTGAAAACACTAGAAAGCCTTGAAGAACAACCAGTGAGAGATTTTTGTTTCGATTTTCTTCTCTGTGATCGGGTCCAAGCTGGGCTTCCACCCTTTCCCGGAAAGCTCACGACTCAAATATTCAGGTCTTTCAGGCGGAAGAATCTCAGGGAACACGTCCCTGCACACCTCTTCCGTCTGCTCCTCTTCCGATATCTGTGGCTTTTTTTGTGTGGGATGACCTGCCGCTACTGCATTGGGATGGTGGCACATGCGACCAAGCCAAGGAAGAAATCTGCCGGAAGAAGAGGGAAGGAGGGACTTGGAACGCAGACCAGCGGAGTTGAGAATCAGAAGAAAACGACGAGCATCCTGAGCGTTTAACCCGAGGGGCTTGCCTCGCTTCATGGGAAGCATCAGATAAATGTTGTTGGTTTGAAGATTTTGATCGGCGGGTAACGGATTTGGCCTTCTCTGGTTGACAGCAGAATGGAACTCCACCACCCGCTGTTGAGGATGCTCCAGCATGAGCTCAGCCACCGTCACGGGTTTATCAAATTCTTGAACCGATCCATCCCAGTGAACAATTTTGCCCCTGCCATTTCGACCAGAAGACATGTAGTTTCCCATTATATTCTTATTCTTATGCGAGGCTTCTTGTTGTATATGGGGTACGACTGGGGAGCGGAGAGAGGCAAGGCGGTTGTATATATAACAAAGAAGCAGGTGGGGTTGGGATGAGGGTAAATGTGCCTAATAGGAATAGATGTTTGTTAAACCGCTCCATCATGTGACGGATATTATGGTGGACTTGGTACAATTTTTAACCTTTGATTTGGCCCGGTCGTTGCCCTTCCTCCTTTCATTCTTTAATTTGTTTTCATCTCTGAGTTTTCACTTTCACCCTACTTCATGCTTTGACTTCGGCGTATCGATCCTGTCCTCCGCCGGTCCCCTCTCTACGTATATAATTTGTGTGTTTTTGGAATTGATCTATTGAAGGGAATATAGATCATTGTTCTAAATGAGTCCATTATTCACCTAATTGCGAAGTGAATATGTCTCTGAGGAACCGTTCAACCACAACTACATCTCCTAATTGGATTAGATTATTATGGATGCCGTTGAAGCGGCCCTTCCAATTCATTTATCTATAGCTCTTTTCTCTCTAGTTACTATGTTTCTGATCTGCTGCTTCCCTGATAAATCCTAGTTACATTACGTAACAGCGATCCAACTTATTTTATATATGTACTTTAATTATACTAGTTACGTCACATAATACTATTGTACGTTGATATATATATATATATATATATATTCTCTCCGCGACAAGATGATTAGGTCGTGAAGAAATAATAACTGATTAAAAGTTGTCTGATGCGTCAAACATCCTTTCACGGCAAAGCCGATCGAAGGTTGTAAACAGGAATTGACCAAGAAAGAAGAGTGCATGTAAAGGAATTCTTTTACGTCAGTCGGTTCGCAAACTCTTTTTTTTTTTGGGGGGGGGGGAATTAGATTATGCGCTGGTATAGCTAGACCGTGTAAGACCACGAAAGCCCAATTTCTATAAGACCCGGTCTCGACCCTTTTGCAATAATTTTGGGCAGAGGACAGATGTACCAAACCTTCATGCCCCAGTATGGGATCTTATTTTGGGCATTTTCGGCTCACCCGTTTGAGGTCCTATTGATCCGGCCTTCACAACATTGACCATCCAGCCAGACACTAGGACTTTTTCACCATCTGATTGTTTTTGAAAAATTCTTATGTATTATCATGAAATATTTATTTTTATGACCCCGTAGGAAATTAAAGGAAACGCGGGCTGGCTATTTCATTATTATCACGTGCACTCAACTGATCTCTAATCTATCTGCTTACTCCATATTTTCTGTTACATTCAAGTGACCTCTATAATACATAAGGACAGGACAAGTAAGCCAAACAAGCCGAAGGTGATCGCACAAATCTGCTTCCGGAGAAGCAACGTACGCAGAGAAAGAAGGGCCACAAACGAAGAGATTTGCCTCACGGGTGCTTTACAATCACAACAGGACACTTGGCGTGCTTGGCACAGTGATCGCTGACGCTTCCTAGGAGTGCCCTGCAAATAGGCAAATAATAAAGTTTCTGCAATTATGTACATGCTTCATTTAATAACGAAAAATGAGGCATGATTAAATTAATCAGGGGTACCGCTTTAAGAATCCATAACCATGGCTTCCCATGACCAAAATGTCAGCCTTCACTTTCTGCACTGTACTGCATATCACATCCTTTGCGTCTCCAGTCCCTACTGCTCGCTCCATATTTATCTGCATGAACACTTGGTCAGTGACACGCTTCACTTAAGAAGGAGGACATTGAATGAGACGCACGCATGTGATTACGTTATTGGTGGTGTTCGATGTCCTACAAACAGCTTCAGCTCTTTCCATTACTGAGTTAGCCGATTCCCTGCCGTACTTTTCCATAGCCAGGACAAAATCACCGGCAAATATAAGCCCTTTAGACATACATCAAACCACCATCATCATTAACACCAAAAATTAGTCAAAGACAAGGTAAAGGTGTAGCCTTGACAATAATAACAACAGTGGCAGTAAATTATAGAAGTAGAACCTGCGGCGTCGAAGTAAGAGTACAGAGCAGGAAGAGGTGGCTTGACGTAGTGAAGCACAAGCTTGTAGTTTTCTTCATGGGACATGAGATTGGCGATGCACCATTTGAGTGCATACATGCTCTCCTCGCTCTCATCGACCGCCACCACAATCTTTCGCTCCTTGTTCATTTCCATAACCTGCTGTTTTTGACTTCGATGCTCAGACTTGCATGTGTTATACGTATAAATAGTTCACACTACTGCTGCTGTTTCTGGGTTTAGTCGCCTCTGGTTTTTAGGCCCCGGGTTCTTCGACTCAATTTGATAAGCATGACGCCTTTGAGAGGACTTCGGTCTTGACATGAGGAGCCTAATATTTAATGACATGAGGATAAGATTCAACACTGGTGTCACGGTCGAGGCCCAGACAAGCAGACAAAAGAAGGCCCTCCTTTGTATCGGATCGTTAAGTGAAAACGAGGCAATAATATTATTCAAAACCCGCCCTTGTAATTTGCTAGAAGCTCTGGAAATTTTAGCCATTAATTTATTGTATAGAGTGGAAAGATTATGTATGACATCTGGCGCCGTCTGTTGCAATTTTCGGCAGGTACCCTGTTTTGCGATTTAACCCATCCATTTGAGCGTTTGCCCAAAACTAGCTACTCTGCTATGTATATCCTTTATATATTTAATTAAACAAAAGTAAGAGAAAAGCGTTAATAAAGTGATAGGTAGAATACACTTCTTTTCAGGGTTAATGGATGTCTATTGAGCAAACATTTTCACAAATCTCGTGTGTGTATATCAGAAAGCAATACAATTACTGGCCAGTAACACCAAACAGCTCCAGTTCATCGAACAAAGAGAGAAATAAAAGATACGAGACGGTAATGGCGTACGTGAAATCGGAGTTGATAATTGCATCGCCACTGGTAATAATACAAGAGAGGACACCTAAACATAGAACATGCTACCTTTCAATATTGAACGTGACAAAAAAATTCCACCGAGGTGGATGCTAAAAGAGAGAGACAGGCTTTTAAACAAGCCAGATTATATTCCTGCAGGTGTGAAAGTTAAGTGTCATCAAGATAGTGATCAATATGAAGAACAGTTTGAAATGTGAGAGTTTTAGGGGAAGAGATTAATATAATGATGGTGGAGATTTCATGGGCCACCATGTGAATGACTGATGCCAGAAGCAGACGTGAACTTGGAAGCTAAGACATCAACAACAAACATAGTAGGAGTTCGGCTAATGTATCGATCAAAGTGGAAATTTTATGCTGAGATTATTGGATAATGGATGGATGATGTGGCCTCCCTCGTTCCTCATTATCAGAGAGCTGCATGATATTCTTCAACCTAATTCATAGCTTACACCAAACTCAACAGCGACGCCATTACCCTTCTTCTAACGGAACAACTTCCCCATCCAATATCGACCACACGCCTAATTCCCCCCATTCTATCACTCTCCATTATTATTGTGTACTAATCATTTCCCATTATTAATAACTTCCCATTCATTTGAATTTGTGGGCGTTTTTTTCTTTTTTGTATTTATATGCTTTAGATAAATATCGACAGACCCTTTGTCATACACTCAGTTGTTTGTCAAGTATAATTAAATTTTATGTAAACATTTATTAATCATTTGAAATAGTTTGTATTTAGAATATATAATAAGACGCTATATATTTTTATACCAGCATTCTTTTTGGCCAGCATTATACTAGTATTAACAAGGGCAATGATAATGGGATATTGAAAAAGTTCTCGTTTTTTTTTTTTTTTACCTGCATTCATATCGATCAGAGTAAACTAATAATTGACAGAGGTTCTCCCAAATTAAACCATAAAACTCTGTTTTATTTTTAATTTAGTCTTCTATAAAGAGTTTTTTTTTCCAATTAATTCCTCTAAATACTTTTCTCGATTAAAGTCTTGATCCCCGCATGAATAATTTGTGGTTCTAGCTACTTTAAATCACCAGTTTAAAGAACGCAAAACTTTAAAGAATCAAAACAACAGAAAGCAATATTTTATGGATTCCAGTCCTGGTTCTACTCTTATACTAACTATAATTTTAATATAAGAACTAGTTAGCTAATTTGAGCAAGTTCAAAAAATTAACTAAATTATTGATTTCTAATAAAAAGTTGACTAAAAAAAATTATTTGTGATAAATAGGTATTGTCTTTCCTAAACTACCCATGCTAATCATATGTATTAATTAAAATTATCATTTAATAAAAATTTTAACATGCACAACTACTATAAGAACTATTCTGAAAAAAAATGAATACATATAAAGGTAAAATGAATTGGAGTCTTATATTTAAGATCAAATTGAATATCAAACCAATTTTTACATTAAACATCGAGATAGTATTTCATTTTTTTGAAGTATTATTATTTTATGCAAATATTTAAAACATACAAATATTAATATCTGATACTACTATTTTGTGGGGGCAGACGTGGACAGCAGTAGGATTGGCGTAGGCTGCAAGCGTTGTCCACAACTACATGCTCAAATTGTTCTCCACAGTTATTTACACATGCATTGAGACAATAAATAGACAATACATTAAAAAAAGGTTAATACTTTAAATTTGATAATGTTTTACACACACAGAGAGAGAGAGAGAGAGAGAGAGAGTAATTTATCCAAATAAAAGTGGTATTTTAGAAGATGCCAAACGAAATGTTGTTTGACTATGTAGTTTTTCTTCTTTCCTTTTTTTTGCCGCCAAATTTAAGTTCATCGTCGTCATATGAATTTCACATTCATTATGTGTTTTTTTAAAAAATGATACTCCTCCGATCTTAATATAGGACCTAATTATTGAGTTGGTTTTGATCCTAAATATAAGACCCATTTCTCATATTTATCAGTTTTTTCTTAATTACCCCTATGGGTACTCTCTCAACCATAATCAAGTAGAAGAGAGAGAAGAGGTATTAAGAAAGATGATTATGGTGTTTTAGGAAAAACGTGTCACATTTCTTATAATTAACTAACTTACCTAACTTTTTTAATCTAATCAAATTAGTTAAATGGATCTTATATTAAGGATAGTGAATGAGTACTATAAAATAAACAGATAATATCATGCGCAACTGTGAAATATTATACCGAAAGATAATTCATTCTCAAATCACTTCTCACAGCACATGAATTTCTTAGCTGAAGAAGCGGTCGGTCCATAGATTGCACACTAAATTTTCTGCGTCAGAAAACACATCAGAGTCTCGTACATTCAAAGTGCAAAAATTCAGTGGATGGACGTGATATTACCTCCGTGTTATAAATTACAATAGACGATTGGATAACGTAGGGTGTATGAGGGCCCAGCGAATCCGCGTGGCAGGTGATTTTATTGGGGGCCATGATTTCAGATAGACGTTTGTTTGAACGCTTATTACCGTTGGCGAGTAGCCGAGGGTCCCACATTTGAATCTGGATGCACAATTTGAAACTGGACGGCACGCTCGGACACATCCCACAGAACTCATTTGATTTGATTTCCGCTCTGTCCGATTGAAAAAGGGGCAGCTCTTCAAATTTTAATTTCATTTCCCAGCCAAGTCAAGTATCGGCCAAAAATAAAGGGAAAAGAATTCTCAGCCAAATAATAACCAAATTACTTATTTCCCGTTGCGCTTAAATGTTGTTTGAGAAATTACACAGACCTGCTCCTCCTTTTTTCCCAACTATATTGAACTCTCCTGTGTGTGTATAAAATACATCCTCTTATTCTAAATATGGTAGTTTTTAATATAAATTTTTTAAAACCAAATCGACACACATTTTTTTAAAAAAAAAATTCAAAAATAATCAACTTTCATCCAAGATTAAAAGGAATATACGTCTATGTTTATGGGGAAAAAAAGGGGATTTTGTTTAGTAAGAGAGTAAGAGTAGGGCCGTGAGTTTTCAAGTTTCTACGCGAATTGGTTCCTACTTCTGCCTAGATAATAGTAAATAAAATATTTTAGTGAGCAAAACGCATTACTAGTGTATTGAGGTTAATTAAAAAAGTAAATATTCTTAATACGACAAGCAATTCCATGATTTATGATTAGAACGGGAAAAAAAGGTAAAATTAAGGATGTACTGCGACGATGGAAAATATTTTAAAATAAAAAACCAAGACATCCTTTATAGTACATTTGAAAAAGAAAGGAGGGGTGGTTTTGGAAGTCTATGTATTACTTCTATATATAGAGTCCATCCTCCACACCACGGGGTCAGAGACAAACACAGTGACATAAACCGAGGAAGAAGAGAAACAGAGGGAGCGAGTGCAGTGGGATTGCGAATCATGGGAGAGGTTGTTATGTTTATTGACGATTTGAAATCAATTTCTGGGATTTCTCGATGCAGAATATGTCACGAAGAAGAATTTGAGAGCTCAAAAAGCTTTGAAGCTCCCTGTGCTTGTTCTGGGACCGTCAAGGTGACCTCAGAGATAACTCTAGCCCTCTTTTCTTGGTCTCTTTCTCTCTCTTGTTTTCTGAAAATTAATAACTCTGTTTCCTTGGTCAGTTTGCTCACAGAGATTGCATACAGAGATGGTGCAATGAGAAAGGGAATACAATCTGTGAAATATGTCTCCAGGTATGAATGTTGATCATTACTTTAGTTTGTAATCTGCAGTTCTTTTCTCTTCTCTTGATTCAATAAATTCGAATGGTAATTTGATAAATTTCTTACTAAACAAATTAATGAATTATCTTGTCGAGGAAAGGGAAAAGAAGTTGGTTGTGTGAATCAATTAATTTTGGTGTCGTTATACAAATTTGGGTCGGCTGTCCATTCTGATAGTGACTTTTAGGAACACTGATAATTTCCTTTCTTCCTCTTCCTCGGCTCTTTTTTCTCCTTCCCTTTTTCCTTTTTTCTTGGCCTTTTGCTTTCTTTGCTTAATATTGAAGTCTATCTCACCCTATGCTGAATTAATGTTTTGTCATCATGAATATTTGTCGAGAAATGTGATTGTAATGGTACACAATCATTGAATGAGCAGAATGCTCTTCCAACAGCTTGAGACACTGTTCTTTCTAAAAGGCTTCTGCTACACCTGACTTATATCTGTTTGGCTCTTTACTGGCAGCAATACGAACCTGGTTACACGGTTCCTCCCAAGAAATTGCGGATAAATGATGAAGCAATGACCATTCGGTACGTTTCTTCCTGATATGTCTAATTTTGCTAATGCTTTTCATTTGCTTTATTACAGCTCCTCCCAATTTCCGTGTACAGTTCGCTCAAAATTGAACAAATGTGCCTTACAACTAATAATTCAATGCAATCATTTCAACCGTCCTTGAATGTGGACCCGTTCCACTGTTATTTATTTGATAATTAATTAATAATTTTGAGAAAAGTTGACAGCATTATAATGCGAAGTGTGAACCCTTGACTAGTGACTGCATTATTACAGAGAAAGCCTGCAAATTTCAAGAATGGAAGAAGAAGCGCTAAATGCAAGACTAGAGGCAATAGTTGAAAGAGTGGCAATAGAAAGTGAGTACTCCGAATGCACGTCTGCCGCAGATCGAAGTGCATCTTACTGTCGATTCCTGGCCTTGGCGGTAGGCATCTTTTATTCTTAATTAATCACATTCATCCAGTTACGTTGTCATTATTATTGTACTCTTGGGTTGCGAAATGAAAGAATCAGATGGCTCCAACAGCTATGTACAAAGGATTTGTTGAATCGGGAGAATATTTTCCCCATACTTCGTGAGTCAAGCATTATAAATCGAGTCGACAGGGTAGCTCAGTTTTGCGACTGTGTAATAGCTCTTCCGGTATGAATGCACATTACCCGAGGACCCGACTAAAATTTACGTCTCTTTTTCTCTTGTTGGCAGTTTACACTTTTTATGCTCGTGAGACATCTTCTCGCTGTGCTTACGAGTGGAACAGAAGATTACCCATTTACACTGCTGACCGTAAGCATTTCACTTCCAAAATGGCAGCGGTTATTATGGAAGAATAAGCTCTTCGAATAATGGAGTTCTGTGGTGGTCATTATTTTTGCAGGTTTTAATGCTGAGGGCTGGCGGAATTGTACTGCCCATGTTCATAATTATTAGAATGATTGGAGCGATCCAAAACATAATTCAGCGCCACTATCAGGTTCATTAGATTTTACGTTGTTATCACAGTTACTGTTAGATTGTCTGATTGACATGAAATCTCAGCTGATAGCGCGATGGTTATTGTACACATTCAGGATTCTGAAGACGGAGCAGCAATATCTGATGGGTACGACAACGAAAACGGGCCACTGCGTGATGTGATTTTTAGACACACATAGGCAGCCGACTTTGCTTTCACTTGTTTCACAGCATCACGCTGATGCTCTTGATGAGTTCCAACACCTATGGGACATTAATTTTACGGCAAAAAGTAATGCAATTCATAAGTTAAATTCGAGATATTTTCATTGTCTCCACTGCCACCCACCCACCAAGAACTGAATCTTTACAGATAATGGCCAGTACAATCAACAACCGAATTCACCAACAATGTTCACTTCTGGCACCAGTCAAAAAGATAGCCAGCCAAACGCGTATAAAAAAGCACTGCAGTAGCATCAATTGAGCTTGGATCAATTCACTGACTACAATTATTCACAGGGAACCAAACTATTTCGGATAAAGCAGAGATGTCAGACAACTGAACATAGAGCAAGCATGACTCGACCATGATATTACGATTGATATAAACATAATCATGGCTATAAACAATGGTTGGCTATCGAAGAATGAACTATAACTTTGATGATAAAACCAACAAATGTCTTGGAATGGTTTAACATTGCAGTAGTGCTCTTGCTTTATTATGAAGTTCACTGAGGGAATTATCCAAAAAGTTTTCCTGGAAACTCAAATTTGTAGTGGCACTGATCAATTTTTGAATGATTGCCATCTCATCAACCCAGCTTTGATTAGATGCGTTGTTTTTTGGAGACACCTTTCTGCGGTTACCATAAGCAGCCTCGAATTCTCTAGACTTAGCAGCAGCCTTTTGAAGAACAGAAGTTGGAAGTCCTGAAATAAAGTAGATTGCTTTTTTTCAGAATAAGAAATAATTGATGACGTGATGAAAGCAAAGGGAGTAATTTTGGAAAGAACAAAATGATGTAAAAATTTACTTATCAAGGAACAGAAAAAGAATGAGCTGAAACGAGAATATGTCATCTAAATTATTCTCAAATTGAATGGCTAAAACAGTCATAACATTCTAAAATCTAAATCGCATAACTTTCTACCTAACAGTGCCACCTCATTAACAATTAACTAATGATGAATATTTTCTCTTCAGTTGGTTTCACTTCTAATACTGTTCTCAAAGACCCGAGAGTTTCCAGATGTGACAGACATTATCACCACTAGAACGTCAACCTCAAGTTTAGGCTCCATTTCTGAGTGAAGAATGACGTATATACTAAGGTCCATCTGTTCTATGCTAAACGGATACATACCAAAGCAAAATCCCCATAAATAAATACGGGTGCCACATCACCTCACGCTAACCAGTCTCATATACATGGGCATTACACCGACACATGCTAACTAAGTAATTAGCAATCTCAAAGCCGCCAACAGTGAATCAGAAGAAGAAATATGGCTATACCAGCTAACCGAGCAACATTAACACCATAGCTCTTGGGGCATGCACCAGGCGTCAACCTGTAAAGAAATGTGACTTCATCCACACCTCCAACTCCGTCACCAACTTGACATGCCATATGGCAGAGAGAAACCTTTACAACAAATGCACGAAAAGCATGACTGAAAATTAGCTGAAATACCAGAAAGGTAGCAATGGTGGCCAAAAAAGAAAGTGAGGCTATTTATTTACATCATCTCACTAAACAGCAACTTTATTAGAAAAATACGAGTTAGATGGCCATATTTGAGCATTCAAATACATTAACTTGCTATAGAATATGACTTTTAATTAACTCTTTAGGATGAAACCTGGGCATACCTTGGGGTCCTTGTGATAATCAACAGCTAATAGGTGATAATGAGTAGAAAACATTCCACGACACTGCACCTCTTGCACAAGATATTCAAGTACCGATTCTCTGACAAGTATTGAGAAACATAAATCACAAACTAAGACGGAAATCAGGAAGTAGAACAACGTTTGCAGACACGGAAATCACTGGAGACATATGTGCACCTAATCCTATTGTAGACACTTACGCAATGGCCTGTCCATCGGAAGTTGAGGTCCCACGTCCAAGCTCATCCAAAGCCACCAATGAATTGCGAGTGGCTGATGACTGCATTCACCAATTAGATATGTGGAAGAAAAAAGAGTGCTTAATAGTTGATATATCATGCATAATGAGCATTCAAAACAGGGTTTCAAAAGCTTTCAGACAGACAGGGAACATTTTGGATACACTGATTAAAAAAGACAAGGGAAATATATTCTTGTTAAATGTTAATGACATTGGCTCGTTGATTGTTATGTTTTGGAGATATTTCTGCTACTATCCACTCAATCCAATCATGTCCTAAAGAAGAAAACAGCCTTCAAAATATAATTGTCTAGTTTTTGGGGCTGTTGAGAGCCATCAGGTAACTTATTGAGCATCATAAAAAACAAATTTCAAAATAATAGTAGGAATATCCTATGTCATTATTTTCAATAAACCAATTGAATCCTGATTAGATCCAATAGCATTGCTAATGAAAGGGCATCTCACCAGTACGGTTGCAGTTTCTGAAAGCTCAGTTAAGAATGTACTTTGGCCAGCCATGATATTATCCTTAGCACCCATTCGAACAAAGATTCGGTCTACGGGTGACAAATCAAAACTTTTGGCTGGGACATCAGCTCCTACCTGCAAAAGGAACTAAATGAGTGACTTCGCAGTTAAAAGAGAAGCCTATTTAAGAAAATCCAATAAGGCCTACTCTCCCACTACAATAACAAGAAGTCTTCTTTTACTACATGGGGTCGGCTGGCCTACTCTCCCACTCTAAAAGAAAATTATTGGGCCACCATCATGTATAATCTAGGTTGTACAGGGGCTCAATGGAAAAATGCTTGATTGCTTTGATGCATTAGATTAAGGATCCCCGTGTGGAGTCGTTTTCAAATATGATTTTCTAATTCTGTGACTCCTTTTTAACAAAAGAATTCTGTCGCTCTGGGCTAGGGAACAAACCAACCATATATAAAGGAATCTCCCCTGATAAGACCAAGAAAAACAAAATGAAGCAACATGGATGAACACTTAACCTGGGCCAAAATCACTGCCAAGCAAACTTGGCGAAGAAGTGTCGACTTCCCACCCATGTTAGGGCCAGTTAGAAGTATAAAGCTTGCCTGTTGTGGACCACCAATTGTTATGTCATTTGGTACAAAGGTGCCCTTGCCCAAATAATCACTCTGAAGGACTGGATGTCCTAAACTTTTAGCAGAGAGGCATGGAGTTTCTTTTGTGCATAGCAAGCCTAGGAATCTTGGTTGGCAAGTTGGTCCTTCATAGTACTCACGGGCAATAGCTAAGCTGATCAAAACATCCAGCTCTGCAACATGTGACATCCATTTTAAGCCATGTAAAAGCTTTTGGACATCAATCGGGAAAAACACAATGACATGCATCAAATCAGTAAATGCATTCATTATACGAGGACTGATAAGGGATCATGTGTTCTAGATGCAACTCACCCAAATATAACTTCTTTTCTCATTGGTTAATCTCATTGTCACCTTATAAGTGGGCCAAAGATGCTAACATCTCTACTAGATCTCCTCCCAGGGAAGCTGGGAAGTCACTGATTTGATTGCTTGATGTTACTATTTCTAATTTATACTTCTGATCGCAGTACAATATGCTCACTAAGAATCCAAGGCACCTAGTGTTTTATTGCACTGTCATTGAGAACATAGGCAGTTAGGTAGAACTATGTACCAGCAGTAGCAGACAATAACTGCCTCCACTTTGTATGATGCTCACAAAAACGACAAACTAATCTCTGCAAAATACTTTTCAACGAGGACTCCTTTTCCTGTTCTGCCTGGGAAAGTTCTCCCATCAACCTTTTGATATCTGGATTCCAGTACCTGAAGAAGCCCTGCACGTATGAGATGGAAGAATGAAAGACCAATTACTTCATTTGAAAAAGCAATTTATGCAGACTTTAATTCATTAGCAAAGTTATGCAAATGCTCAAGAATTAGCAGGCAGCCATGCAAGAAAGACCAGACAATATAACATCACCGTAGATCCAATCATAGAAATCAGACTACACAGCTTGCATTCAACTACTCCACTGTCAAAAGTTTGGCTTATTACCTTTCTGGATGACCTCATCTCATAATTTTGTGGAATATTTTTACATAAACTTTCAGGCACTTCTAACAGGTATGCCTCCTTTCCAACAGATACATAAGTAATCTGAAACAGCCAAATGACAGCATTCAGACATTGATCAAATACACCGTGAAATGATTAAATACCAATGATGTCCTTAGAGATCTTACTGAATTGTCTCGAAATAATTTCCTTTGCTCCTTAAGATGCTGCGATAAACTGGATTCAATCTCATCAACCGTTTTACAGGCTGAGTCATACTCAGAATCAGTTCCCTCATGAGGTATTATACGTCCAGAGTTATTGGCTTCATCCCAATCAAAGGCATCCTTGAAGTGATCTAAAAGCAAATGAACATCAGGAAGGCCTTCTCCTGCGCACGACAACAGTAAATAAATCGAACAGTCACCCCACAGTAGTTGGAAGAATATGCTCACTGAGGTTTATCATACCAGGTGTTAACAGATGATGAAGTCGTCTGGATTCATTATTCTTCAAAATGACACATAGTGATGAGCATGCTTGTGCCATCAGTTCACATCCACGCAATGCTGCAACAAAGTCTCGTAGTTGTTTCTTTCCAGCATCCTCGTACAGAATCACTTTATTAGCATTCCTACCACTGGCTTCACTGCATTCATGAAAGTAGAGGAGAGAAATAATCAAGAGAACCATCAGTTTCTATGCATTAGCTTACATGTCACTGATGCATAATTTTTTGTAAATGCTGCTTTTACCTACTAGCAAAAATGCGTGCTAGCAACCGTTCCATATCAGGTAGCTTTGATAATGCCCTCCGGAATTCTAGTGAGGAAGGTAGATTAACTCCCTAAAGAGCAAATCACACATTGAAACAATCAGTAACCTCGATCAATTTTGTCCCCAAAAATCTATAGTCAATACATCAGCCATTAGATTTCATTATTTATAACTATAAGACAACGGGGCACTTTTCTAACTCAAATCAGGGATGGAGAGGACTAAATATACAGAAAAGATTAAACTTATCAAGTCAGTTGCTAAAATTTACACCAACTAACTGGTAAAAGCCAAATGAACTGTTGACTCTAGGATTTACATTCAGTATCCAGGCAGGCTGTTGACAATCACATTGAAGTACAAGAGTAATTCATTTAACCAAACATACAAGTTTACACACGCAACCATGTGTCAATGAAATGAAGTACTGCAGTTATATCAAATAAGTAAAACTCCTGTCCGAGACGCTAAACATAAGAGGCCACAAATAGAAACCAAAAATTAATCCAAAAAGATTGTACGAACATACCATGTAAAAAATCAATAGAGCAGAAAATAAGTGTTGTTAACACCCAAACAGAAAATCTGATAGTTGCAAAATCCTGTTTGATTTACCTAGTCATGGCAGATGATCTCATAGCTTGATTATATTTTAAAATCAGAAGTGGACTACATAATTACAAAACCTACCCTTAAACCAGCCACAGCTTCTTGGCGCTCCTTGATTTTCTCTAGATGATATAATGGTCTTGCTATCCATGTCTTCAGCAGTCTCTTTCCGAATGCAGTAACACATTGGTTCAATTGTGCATAAAGTGTGCTGCAGGAGATGCATCACTTCAGTAAAAGATAAACAGGAAGTATTTATCATTTTTAAATAAGAAATGTACAGAATGCTCATCATCAGATGACAATACCCCGAAGAATCACCATTCCTGCTATTCTCAAAAATCTCAAGATTCTCCAGGGCTGCTGCGTCAAGAACCATGTATGGCTTTGAAGCAAGACCATTGAAATTGGAACATGGAAGCATCTCAAATTGTGCAAATCTAAGCAACGAGTCATCAAGGAAAGCCTGTTTAAGATAATAGAGAGCACCACCCAATGCAGAAAGTGCACTTCTACTTTCATCACCTGCTCTCACCAACTCCAGCAAAACATCTGACATGGATCCTTTCCCATCTACTTCGACACTAGAAAGACTAGAATGCCCATAAAATCTCTCCAATTCATTAACAGCTTTCTCAGCATTCCAGAATTCCACATCAGGAACTAATTCATTGACTAGCGGATTTCTTGTATGATTCTGCAGTACCCTCTCTGTTTCAGCACTAAGCATTTTGGCAGGTTTTACAATTTCCACTGGCCGAAGTTCAGACAAAATGCAGCACAAGGCACTGCATTCTGAATCATCCTCAAACTGTCAAACAAAAGTAAACCCTAATTTAAACAGATGTAGAATTAGCAATTAATAGAATATATGCATGTATAAAGGATTAGATACTTTACCCTTCATGGTGTCTCATGAACCCATCCAAGAAACACATTCATATTACAAATCAATCATGCCATTGACCAAGACTAGAAAGAGGCAAACCTGGCCAAGAATGACTCTACTTGTAGCAACATCAACGGCACAAACACCATAAATACGCCCCAAACTTTCGCTTTCCTTGTTTTGGCAGCACTCAGTTAGGGCCATTAGATAAGAAGCTTCAGGGTTTGCTGACAACAACTCCCCATCAGTTAATGTGCCTTTTGTAACCACCGCACATATTTCCCGTTTCACAACCTAAAAATAGAATTACGTCAAGATTATAACAATATTCCTTTACCAACCCTAAGATATCACCAAGAATAATTTCTAGCCAGGTTCATCAAAAGACTACATATACAAACAGGACGCAGAGAAGGAATACAGGGTACAAACATGGAAATCACTTCTTTACAACTTGAACTCAAAAAAAAAAAAAAAAAAAAGACATTGAGAAACAGAAACAGTGACTTTTCACTTTTGAGGCTACTGTAAGAAGAAATAGGACCTTATCTTTAGAACCCTTCTTGCGACGAATCTCCAATTGTTCAGGTGTTTCAGTCTGCTCTACAACAAGAACTCGATAACCCTGCTCTGCCAGAGCAGTTCTAGTAAGTTTTTCCGCAAATTACAAATAGGCTCCCTAATATGCTCAGGTCCAGAGAAAGAAAGAAAATAAGAAACAGAGGTACAAAAAAGGCAAACCTTCCGAGCCAGTTTCTCCACGTTCACTGAGAAATTCTTCTCTGGAAATCCACAATGAGGTTGTTCCCCCTAAAAATGAAAACATATGCAACAAATAAGATAATTGATTCAAGCACTACACAGGGCTTAGACATAATTTACACAAACTCATGATTTTCTTTGCACAATTTTAATGACGTTAGTGACCAAAGGTGAGAAGCCAAAATTAAAATGAGCGATAACAAAGAAAGAAAGAAAGAAATGGAGCACCTTTAGGTCCTGAAGAATGTCTAGAACTCTATAGTACTCATACTGACCTTCATATACTGCAAGTCAAGCTCTTTCACTCCCACATGCGCATCCATTTCAAAAAGCTCATAAAATTTACCCATCTGCTCCAACCAAGAAGAAGTTTTATCAGACTGCAAAGTGATGGCACTGAGAAAACTTTTTCTTTTGGGCCACACATGGCACCAACAAAACTAAGCCATACTAAACTAGATACCTTAAAAAACAGAACTTTGTCCATGTGCTTCGACTTGAACTCCCACCATTGTTTCTATATCCATCAGGCAACCTTGTTAATAGTATTCCACAAGAAGCATTTCAGTGTCTTACTACATTATTTTAGAAGCAATTACCTGCCCGTCAGACAATCTCTTTAAGAAATCAGGAGGCAGATAGAGAGTCTTTGGATCATAATTTTTATCTCCTGGACGTCTTCGTTTGGCATCTTTTCGATCTCTGTTCCGGCATTATATAAAAAGTACCATAGAAATATTATAATAAGAGCCTTCAAATGAAAGGGCAGAAGAGCAGCAGCAATAGTTGCTTATAAATGCATAGTATTTTCATTTTATTCTTAGTAGTTGTAGAGATAAAGCAGGCTGCAAACCATATCATGATAGCCAACCTTTGTCCTGCTGCTCAAGCACAAGTACTACTTAACAAAAACCAAGCATAAGTTTTGCTTAACAAAACCATGGCAATACCACTAAAGCGGCCAGCCATCAGAAACACCTAACTCTGGGGATGGAAAAAGTTTAAGGGAAAGCACAATCTAATTCTTCCCAGCACTTACACTCCAAGGAAAGGTAGTTTATCGGCTTCACGTGCAGCAAATCTGTCAGCGGCATCACCAGTCGCAACACGATCAATTTCATTAAGTGTCTTTTTACCTGCAAAGAGACGAAAGAAATTTAACCGTTATACATTCCCGACATCTACTGGTCTCCGTTTGAGATGCATCGCGCTACCCACTAAGCGGTGCTTTTGCTCAATGATTACAATATTATTCAACAAACGATAAATGCAGTTCACTCATAAGTCTGAAATTCCCATCATTAAGCTAAAAACAATACAGATAGACAACTATTAATTGATATTCCCCTCAACGTGAGATAACATGTTTCAAAAGACAGAGATCCTTTAAACCCCCTCCCCCAGAGAAATAATTAAGCAATGAAACGAAGAAAATGAGACAGAAAACATGTAAACCCTGTCCTCGGACACGTTCCCCGACAGAAAAATTGAAAACACACTTGACCACTTACTGTCCGGATTACTTTTAAGCTCCGGCGTTGAGACCCTGAAACTTCCCTTCCCAAATTCTACTGCGATCTTGCTCTTTTTTGCAGGTCCAGGTTTCTCTCCCACACTTGGTTTCCGCTTTGTGGATCCTAACCTTTTACCTCTTTTACCTTTAGGCCTCTCGGCTTCATCCTCCTCGTCTTCTAGCTCCATGTCTTCATCAGCGTCCTCAGCGTCAGCCGCAGTCTCATTCTTCCCCCAGTCATCGTCGCTGGAATCATCATCGTGACTGTCCTCATCACCACCTTCTTCTGCCCCGATATCCCCATTCTCTGCTCCCTCATCCTCAATAACCGTTTGCTTCGAAGCATATAAGCCACGACGCAGCCGTTTGAACTTCTTCACAGTCTCTTGCACCCACTCAATCTTCTCCTTTGCAAGTTCCAATGACTCCTCTTCATCATCATCGTACAGAACTACATGCTTACCAGTTTGCTTATCAAATGAGCTGACCCGGCCTTCGTACCAGGTTTTATCCAGAGGCCAGTAAACCTTGATCCTTCTTCCGACAACCTCTTCGCCGTACGACAGGCTATCCAGTGACGGCAAACATGAGGGGGTGGGACAAGATGGGGAGAGGGGTGATGAAGTGCCAATGAGAAGAAGCGGTTTGTTGCATTTAGGATTGGAAGGGGACGGTGTAGAAGGGCTGGGGCTCGAACTGGGTTTTCGGTCTGAGATTGGAGTAGGGCTTAATTTCTGCTTGGAGACAATGGATGGAGGCGAAGGGTTAGGGTTAGCTTTTCGCTGGGCAGGAAAGGAAGGAGAAGAAGTGGTTTTAGAAAAGAAGGATGTAATTTGACGCTGAGGATTGACGAGGGGCGATCGGCCATTGCTCTGACGACGTGACGAAGACATTGCTAAGGAAGAAGAGTGAGGCCGTGTAGTAGCGAACTGAAGCTGAAACAGACTTCAATATATAGAAGAGACTGAAACCTGGCGGGAAATGACGGTACTTTTCGCGGGAGTCGCCAATTTAGGAGAACCGACCAGGCCAAGGCCCATGGCCTCAGTGAAATGAGTTGTCCACATACCGAACAATATTGCAGGTCCAGATCCGAATGCCGCAATCAGGGGTCAATCTTTTTTTTTGGGGGGGGGGGGGGGGAATACTTTGGTTGACGGTAAATTGGAGGTGAACACCTTAATAAGTTCCACTTTTTTCCTGACGAATAGTGCTACAGCCCAGTTCATTTTTAAGTAGGTAAACTACGTGACTTTTACGCAAACTTTAAATGAAAAAATAAAATGAAGGGTCTAATTCTAGTAGAGTTTCTTTTTTTTTTTTGGGCCAAAAAAATTCCAGTGGAGTTTCGCTATATATAATTATGAACAGTATTAGAAAACACAGTTATTAGGATTAAAAGTGAAAAATGAATGATGTTATAAATATCATTTTACCATTGAATGGGCAAAATAACATGTTCATGAGTTTAAAAACGAACATGGCCTTCCGAACCCCAATTTCACTTCTGCATCGTGGTTTTTTTCTCTTTTTATGGCGCTACTGTCAGGATTTGCTTCCATTTAAAATGTTGTAGTTGGTACGAGATATCACGATGAAAGATATCATGACACTTATAAAAAGATAAAGTACATACTCTTCCGATATTTAATATAAGATCCATTTAACTAATTTGATTAAATTAAGAAAGTTAGGTAAATTAGTTAATTATAAGAAAAATGACACGTTTTTCCCAAAACACCATAATTATATTTCTTAATGCCCCCTCTCCCTCTTCTACTTGATTATAATCGAGAGAGTATCCATATGAGTGATTTAGAGAAAATTAATAAACATGATAAATGGGTCTTATATTTAGAACCAAAACCAACTCAATAATTAGGTCTTATATTAAGGACAGAATGAGTGCTTGGTACTTTTAATTTATATAAAATTTCAGCTTCATCCTTTATTTAAAAAAATTTATTTTTTAGTTTTCTGATCTTAAAATTATTAATTTTTTGTACATGTTAGCATTTTAAAATGTTTTATCACTATTCAAAATCTTAATATCATCACTTTTTGTCAATAATTTTAAAGTTAAAATACAAAAAATATACTTTTTTAAACTAAATTAAAATCTTGTATAGAGTCAAGAGATTTAATAGCGGCAACATGGGATTTTTTTTTTTTTTTTTTGCCAAAGCCATATGGAATTAATGGTTGTCACGTTAGACGGAGAATTCAGAAGAAAATAACTTCCTTGGTTTTTATACAAATCCTTCATGTGTAATTAATTACCTTGACGGCTTTTTCCTCTTCCAGTGAACTGTATCCAGTAGAATTCTCAGGCGAAGCTGTTTCCCTTTTTGCGTGGGAGGGTTAACGCTTAATGCATGATTTGTCATTTGTTTGTTCCACGGGCTGTCAATCCTCTTTTTTTCTCTTTTTTTAAATGAAATCGACAGGCTGGCAATCGAACCATAATCCCGTCATAGTAAGAAATGTTTGGGTATTTTCAGAATTACCTTTTAAAAATATTTTTTTTATAAATCAAGACAAACTCTTTCATATATTTACTTTATATAGTGTAAAATTACTTTTAAAATGATAATTTGGTTTCTATTCAAACACACTCTAAGTCCTTATGATAAATTACTAGAATCATCACTAGTAAAATGATACTATTTGAAAAGAATTGTAATGAGATTAAAAAAAAGAAAAATAATTACTAAAAAATATCTATAATAACAAATTATAAAGTAGTAAATAACAATTTTTACGACTTGTCTTGTAATCATTTCTTGACTCGTTGCAATTCTTCCTATTATTTAATAGGCAAAATATCAATCTAATAAATTATAGGCTGTCAATCAAACCATACCAGTGCTTTTCAAACAGCAGATTACGACCATTGATCCATCCTGCTCGAGTCTCAGGTCCTTTCATTTATATAATTTTTCTGCCAGCCTCAAGTTTCATGTAATTATTTTTTGTTATTCTGGTATAAATCCCATCAAGAATCTTTTTCCTTCCTTTTTTTCCCCCCCTGCAGATCATTAAACTAAAATGGAAATGAAATCTTCTTGTCAACGGAAATCTATGCCCTTTCTTTCCTTAAATTAAGAAAGCTTCAACAATTAACAGAGATATAGTTGTTGTGATCCAGTAGAGGATGATAAACGTCAGGTTCCGGGCAACAGGCTCAGGCTCCGCTTAGAAGAATCTTAGAACATTCACGTGCGAATCAAGAATACGAACATTGATTTCTTTTCTATTTTATTATTCTAGAATTCTTGCCGCCAACTAATCATTGGAAGCCTGTGTCCCTCTGTTCAGTATATACGCGTACCAACAAGACTCCAAGTATCTCTTGTGCTTGCAACGGAGGCTGATCATCATAAATTGACTGAAAGAACTCCGACATGAATCTCTGCCGAAGGCCTTCACCTTTTGTGATCCCGCTAGTATCTTTTGTGCTGTTTTAATTCTCGCTTGTTTACGACTTTTCTGGGTTATTATTTTGTAATATCTCTCTGTATCTTCTCCGTTTGTCCCTTGACAAAGTATCCTGGGTTCTCAGTGTTTGCTTTCCTGCTTCTCCATTGTGTTGACTTGATGGACTTGGATTGGGCACGCTCTATATTCTTTTCTTGATAAAATTTCATTATGGTCTTCTAAATACAGTCACGAGAGCCATTCATCATCAGGTGTGTGTCTCATGAAATACGATGCTTCAGGTGCACGCTTCGGCCATCCGACAAAATGGATTAGCAAGCTTTGCTCGAGAGAGTAGAAAGGAGAGATAAAAGTTAGTGATCGCAGGGACAATGATGATAATCACAAGAGCCTCTGATTTTGGGCAACGTACGATCGAAGTTGGCCAAAAAGTGAAAGCTGAACTGAAATACCGCCTCCTACGTTTTATAGAAGGGGAGGCAGTGTGCAATTTCGATCATTCTATATCCACTGCGTATGCCATATTTTCCTTGGATTATTCTATATCTGACATTGATGATATAGGGTCGAGGTTAACAGAAGCAGCATTCGTCGTTGTTCTGGTGGCGGTGGCACCCTCTATGTCGGATCAGTTTGGAGTAATTAATTCATTCATTAAACATTCTGGTTCTGGTTTGTAGTCATCCCTGCCACTTTCGTGCCATGCATGACTTGGTAAGGCTGTTTGGCATAATTGATAGCCTCGGAGATGCCCGTGTAAAACAACGGTGGAACGGGTTGAACAAAAAACAGTTACTTGACTACTTCATTCTGTTCTTATATCCGGTATCCGGTATTATTAGAGTAAAACAGTAGCAGTCACAGCAATTGACTGTTTCATTCTATATTCTTGTATCCTCAGAGTGCCAGTTTTCTTTTTCCTGGTAAAAAAAAAAGAAAGAAAATAAAAGAAGAGTGCCAGTTTTTCAACATCTCTGCGAATCCCGTGGCAAAATGTAAAAAAAAAAGAAGAAGCACGGTGATATGTTGAGATAGGGAGCGAGGCCCTCAGATGAGTGAAGTGCAGGGACGTTGTGTCTTAAGAATATTTTATTATACACTGTTTATGGAGCATAATCTCATCCGATGTAAAATTTTTCACATCGAATTTAAATTAAGTTTGCTGCACCCTAAGGATATTTTCTTTAAATGTTGTAACACAAGCCCTTATCAAAGCAAATGAAGTCCAATCCTATTTTTGGGTTTTAAATATAAGCTTTCAACAATGTATTCTTTTTCAAGGTAAACAAAAAACAAAAAGTGTTCTCTCACGGAGGTCTTGCAAAACAGGCCTTGATAGGACAGCATAACAATATCCCCCACAAACACGCGTGCCACCAATACCTTTTTAACCAATAATTTGATTTTTGTGACTGCAGCCCAAGAATAACAGAGATCAAAATCGACAAGTTTTATCCAAACAAAAAAAATTGACCAAGTCTTCGTGACATCTTTTGAAAATTAAGGAAAAAATTGCACCAGATATATAAACTAATCAAACAGATTAAAATGGAAGAGATTGGTAAAGGCACATATTTTTTTAAGATTGAAAATTAGTTATGGAAGCTTTTAAAATCCGGGCGGCTATGTTTCCATGACTAACCTCCCGGTACTTATAAAAAGGCCAACAGTTTCTGAAAGGAAAAAAGAAAGGCAACAGCTGCGTAAATATGTATTTTGAAAAAACAAGATCATTATTTAAAAGCAATTGTATATGGCCTTTTTTTTTTTTTTGTTTAATAAATGTGCTTCAGCTGTCGTCTTTCGCTCAAAAAAATTTCGTGGTTGTCGTCAGCCTGGACGCCAGCTATGACGCGGCCAATCAATCCATCCAAATCCAAGCCCTCAAAATTAGCTTTGAATTTCTAAAAGGGGGGAAGTTTCGCACGTTTTGTTTTGTGCATAAAAAACTCACCTACCCACCCCCCATTTATCTTCTTCAATTCCAGTCTTCTCATTCTCCGTTCCGGCTGCGCTTTTTCCTGGTTCATCCCCGACAAACAGATCTCTACCACAGCTAAGTATTCTCATCTCTCTCTCTGTCTAGCTTCTCAATCCCTTTCTTCTTCGTTGGCTCTTGACTTCGGTCCGCTTCCAAGCTCGCGTCTTTGATAATCAGATATTTCGGAGATCTAGGGTTTCAGGGTTCCTAACATAAGTTGATTCGGTTTGATTTGTGGTTTAAGAGAAATAACCTCAATGATTTCAGAATTTTTATGATCCCTGTCAACCCCATGCGTCGAATTCGTCTGCTGCACTCCTTCTCTGTTGTGTTTCTATACTGGTTCTACGTTTTCTCATGAACGATAACTTCTCTGGTTGATCATTTGTGCTCTAACCATTAGATCTGTAAAATCCTATTTCCTTCATTTTTAACCATCATCCAATCAAGTTTGTGATCACCATGCGGTAAGACGATGGCCTCGATTCAACGCACTGCAAGCTCGGGATCCGAAGGCGTAGTAGACCCCCGATATGCCGGCTTCGATGAGAGAAAGAGGAAGAGGATGCTTTCCAACCGTGAGTCGGCGCGGCGATCCCGCATGAAGAAGCAAAAGCAAGTCGAAGATCTTTCAAGCGAAATTGGCCGACTTAAGGCTGAAAACGGTCGGCTATTTGAGAGCATAAAGGCCAAGGAAGAAGCACACGTTGAGATCGAATCCGTTAACAATGTTTTGAGGGCTCAGACAACGGAGTTGACCGATCGACTGCGGTTTCTGAACTCGATCCTTGAGATCGCTGAAGAGGTCAGTGGGCTTTCTGTTGAAATCCCTGAGATACCAGATGCTCTCTTCAACCCATGGCAGCTTCCTCTTCCAATGCAGCCGATCATGGCGTCCGCGGTCGACATGATAATGCATTGATGTAATAGAAGCCTTTCATATTCCTGCTCCGTCCTTCTCTGTATGGTGGGTTTGAGTATAGTTAAACTATGTCTAATAGGTTTGCTGGTTTCCTCTGTCTCTGTTGGGCATCGTCTATTGTCTGTCTTTGAATTATTGAGTGCTTTTGTCAGACTTAAACGGTTCGTGTTCGTGTAGATTGAATTGAATGGAGTGCTTTCGTGTTTGTCTTCTAATAAATGGCTTTGTCTTCTTTAATCTCCGCATTTGTCTATTTTCGGCGATTGTTCCAAACGATTGCTATCCTCATTATTCACTATGGTTATCATGCAAGGTCGTAAGTCGTGACTTTCGGACTATTTGATTCTCGACGCTTTTGAGTGAGTAAACTGACCACGAATTGGCGGCACCTGTAATCTTTTCGACCGAGATCGAAGCCATTTTGTATTTAATTAAATAATTACAAGAGCAGGGTACCTGATCTCTCTTTAATTTTTTAATTTGCTTTAATCGTGTCTAATTTCTTACCTCTCGCGAGAATATTCTTAAAAAGACTCCGACCTAACATTCCTATTTATGATCTAAGAGCGATATTAAAATGAATTTTATTTGCTGATTTACTCTCGTGTGTTATCACAGTCCACCGGTCCCTGATTCTCACGGGCGAAGTATGGGAGTTTAGGTAGGAAAGAAAGAAGGTTCCCGCGCGGGTCAGGGGATCGCGGAGATGACATCGAGAGAAGTTCTTTATGGCATGCGTGTCGCTTTGAGGAAGGTTTCCTGGGGGTTGTAGGATATTCTCCCCGCCATATGAACTGTTTGGGTAGGAACCAATTTAAAAATAATTTTATAATATATGGAATAAATATATGAAAAGAATTTTATGTTAACTTCTATAAAATCACTTTTTTTAAATACCTGACACCAAACATCCCCTAAATTTCAATGTCCTTTTCCTAAACAGTTGGCATTTAAAATGATATAAAAAAATCACAGATAAAAACCCATATACAGAAAATCTTTAAATGAATTATAAATACACTTCTAAGGTAAAAAAAGGAAAACTAAAATCTATTAAACTACACATAATATGAAATCGTGGTTTGCCAAAACGTGAATTTCAGCAACGTGTAACGTCTCGCCTGAAATCATGAAAACACGTTTTATATAAATCAAAATAATTTTTTTTATACTTATCCCATATTTTATAAATAATAATTTAAAAAATTATTTCTAAGTCATCATCAAGAATCAACCGGCTGTCAAAGAATTTATATACCCATGCCACGAGGGTGTACAAAAGAAAATCCTAAACGTGCACACGTTAGGGAATACGTTTCAGTCATTGATGATCCCAGCCAGTAGATCATCATGATCAGGTTCTGGATGTTGGAAGCTGCAATAAAACATTAAACCGATTTTAGAATCACCGAACACAGTAGGCCGAAATGGAGGCGCCTCATTAGGCCTTGACAAGACGAAACTTTAGCTGAGGCTTGAGGCTAGTCATTAACCATCCAAGGACGTCCGCGCTATAACTAAATCGCTCAAGGGATATGCCCAAGATTCCGCGCGCGAAACAATATCATGACATCCAGATATCGAACTATTAATCAGATTCAGATCCAATATCAACGACGGAAAAGAACTATTAATCAGATCCAGGAAACTCAAATAAATAAACAAACTTCGGGCTTTACTTTTGAAATTAAAAAGGCCTTTTCACTTTGTATGTATGGTGACGAGGGGGGCGGTTCGCTTTGGGGATCACGCTTGGTTCAGAATTAAATATTTAAACATGGCAGTTCATTCATATAAGATAACATAGAATGCTCGAAAGTAAAAACACACTTTTTAACAAATTTTGATATCAGCCCTCTCAGTTATCATATGTGCGGCACTCGTTGGTTTCTGGGTTGTCCTTGCAGTAGTTCTCCAGTGGGTCCGACTCCTTCTTTCGGTCCCTGGCATGGCTGGCCGCCGCGCTTAGCTCCTCCACTTCATCCCAAGCCGCCACGCACTCACCGCTCGCTGGGTTGTCTGAGCACGTCTCCTCTGCCTTCTTTATGCTCTCTTCCACCTTCTCCGATATACGATCAGGTGCTGCACGCACAGGCCGAGCTGCCATCATGCGCCCCGACCCGAGTCTTTGGCCTGGATGCGCCGGGAATTTGACCGCCTGGGCCTTTTGTGATTCCGATGCCCTAGCCAAAAACCCAAGGCCCGAAAGGCTCAGACCAGTTATGGTTGCCATTTCTCCTTCTCCTCCTCCTCTCGTTACCTTCTGTATTCCCCCCCGATCGGTGCCGTGAATCAAAATAAGATGAGTTCGATTTAGGAACGGGGATTAAGAAGTGGGAAGATATATAAACGATCCCTGTGAAGATTTGTGTACACATATTTCTTATCTGATGGCAACCAATGCTAAGCTTCCACGTCGAAACCACCCTGAGATATTTTGCATTAAAAAATAGAAGAGAGAATCTATTTTTGCTCTTCCTTTTATCCAAATGGCACTTTGACAATGAGATCAGGGGCCTGGCATCTGCAACTTCAGCCGTTGGATCTCGATGGGACATCAGAAAAATCGTAGTGTTTTGCTCTTGCACCAAGTTTCAAGGCCTAGCCTAGCCCACGCCGCTGATGCTCACAGTCATACTCTCGCAGCATCCCTCTCTTGCTTTTTCTCATCTCATTCTTATCTTTAGATTAAAAATTGAATATTTAAAAGAAAAGTAATTTTAGGCACTCAAGTAAGGAATATAATCTCCAAACACTCATATATAGGCTGCTCTTCATGAGGGGAAGGCGTCGACACTTGACCCGAAATAATATAGTATCCGTTTTCAGACCAATTCAAGGATTCGAAAAGGAGAAGGGTATCCATTTTTCCTCCTTGAAAAAGCCGGAGGTAATATAATTTGTAGTTTTTTAACCTCGTCTGTTAAATTTTAAACTATAAATTTTGGTTATTAAAAAAAAAAACCGAGAACAGGCATGAGATCGGCCCGGACATAGTAATAATGTAATAATATATTCCCTTTACAGTCGTTAAATAATGCCTAATAACCAAAAAAAACCGAGAACAGACATGAGATCGGCTCGGACGTAGTAATAATGTAACAATATATTCCCTTTGCGGTCGTTAAATAATGCTTTTTTCCTCTCAAAAGGGAAAAGGATAACATGATTGGCAGCCCACTTGCCAGCAAGCTGCAAAAGTGCACAGTCTTTAAAAATATCGAGCAGGAATAAAATTTTCCTCTCTCATGATGCGACTTCACAAAGTATACCATCGCCTTTCTCTTCTCAACTGCTCCCCAATCTCTTTGCTTTCCAATCCTTGTATTCTTCCTTTAATTCCTCCATATTCATCACGACTCAGATTTCCTCGCAGAATCGCCGCTAATTTTACTAGCATCACCTCAATGGGTTGCTCCCGGTTTCGCAATATTGCTCCTCTTAGTGCTATGGTTACTGAAGATGGTGGGGGCGGAAACTCGAATGCTCCTGGTTCTTCCTCTACCGCCACCTTTGATGACGAAGGTAAGCTGAGAAGGGTTTGTTTCTATTTTTAATAACAGTTTCGCCGATGTTTTGGTCTTCGAATGTGAGAAAGTTGCTGTATTGGTTGACTTTCCCTGAAAAACACCTTAGTCTGGAAGCGGGTAGTATCCCTGAAAACTAAATTTGTTAATTCCATGCATGTTGCAGTCAAAAGATCGAAAAGAATACTACTTCTGCATCAGTTCAATCATCTCTCCGAAATTGTGTATATTATAAGCTTGTCCTGTTTTTGTAATGGAAACGTTGGAGCTGTAATAAGAACAATCGATTTCACTGCTGTACTGTGATGACTAAATTGAATATCCTTTTCTGTCTTAATTCATTATTTGTGAACCGGCAATATTTTTCTCATTAAGAGTCATATATATCTTCTGTGGTTAGCATTGCTCTATGCACATCTAACTTTTTGAGCTCAGTATTGGATATGAATACAGTTCTCTAACTCACAATGGCGTGCGTGTTCTTATTTATACCATGATAATGTCTCTAATTGCTGGGAACTATGTTGATTGGTTTTATTAGAAGAGTCAACCGTTGGAGTAGCATATCGTGTTCCTCCACCTGAGATCAAGGATATTGTGGATGCTCCCCCCCTGCCTGCCTTGTCATTTTCACCGCATAGAGACAAAATTCTATTTCTCAAGCGACGATCTTTACCACCACTGACAGAACTAGCAAGACCAGAGGAAAAGTTGGCTGGTATACGCATTGATGGAAGCTGCAATACTAGGAGTCGCATGTCATTTTACACTGGCATAGGAATCCATCAAATTCTTCCCGACAACACATTAGGGCCAGAGCTAGAAGTTCATGGTTTCCCTGATGGTGCGAAGATCAACTTTGTTTCTTGGTCTCCTGATGGCCGGCATTTATCCTTTAGCATTCGTGGGAATGGGGAGGATGATGAGAGTAGTAAACTCAGAGTATGGATTGCTGATGTTGAAACAGGGAAAGCAAGACCTTTATTTCTGTCGCCTGACATATGCTTAAATGCAGTTTTTGACAATTATGTATGGGTAGATAACTCCAAACTGTTAGTTTGCACTATTCCGATGTCTCGTGGAGCTCCACCGAGGAAGCCTTTGGTCCCTTTTGGCCCTAAAATTCAGTCTAATGAAGAGAAGAGCATTATTCAAGTAAGAACTTTTCAGGATTTGCTGAAGGATGAATATGATGAAGATTTGTTTGACTACTATGCAACCTCACAGTTGATTTTAGCTTCCCTGGATGGTACAACAAGTGATATTGGCCCACCAGCTGTTTATACTTCAATGGACCCATCCCCAGACCATAAATACATTTTGATTAGTTCAATTCATAGGCCATACTCTTTTATCGTACCTTGTGGAAGATTTCCAAAGAAGGTAGATTTATGGAGCGCTGATGGAAAATTTGTCAGGCAACTTTGTGACTTACCCCTGGCCGAGGACATCCCAATTGCCTTCAACAGTGTACGGAAAGGGATGCGGTCCATTAACTGGAGAGCTGATAAGCCGTCCACACTTTACTGGTACGCATCCGAATTTTTGGCTATATTTTCTGGTGGGGCATGAACATTTGAACCGTGACAATTACTGGATTGAATTTTACGCAAATGACATGCACTTTGCTGATAAATGCCATTTAATCAACTATTTGCAATTTCTTGAATTATTTTTCCTCAAAATTTTTAATTGCTGAAAACAATTATCCCGAGAGTGCTTTCAGTGTGGAAAGCTCAAAATGCTCTGAGATGCCCAAGGGAAAAGAAAAAGATCCAGAGGATGAACTTTCGACAACTAATTTACTAGTGGATAGTTCACTGCTATTTGTAACCTTCTTGGACCTCTGTTCACTGCTATACTTAAATTTTACTTTATTCAAGTATACCGTGCAATTGCTTTTCCCCTTTATATACATATATTGGTTTCAAATGCAACCATAGGGCACATAAAAAAAAAAAAATCAATATATGTTTTTACTGTTTTGCAATTCTCTTGGGCTTCTATAATTCTATGGTTATTTTCCTGGGGAAAAAAAACTGGCATGTGATTTCTTTTGAGTAAATTATTTCATTTGAGGTCTCTAGGGTAGAAACACAAGATGGAGGTGATGCGAAGGTGGAGGTTTCTCCACGAGATATAATTTACACACAACCTGCTGAGACACTAGAGGGTGAGCAGCCAGTTCTACTGCACAAACTTGATCTCCGCTATGGGTATGTTCATGGTCTACATTGACTTCTCTTTATTGGTGTCTCCATGTCTTTGCCATAATATTGACATTATTGGACCATTTTCCCTAGTCAATCAACCGATTAGCATTTCATGTATGCTACCAAAGGCTGTAATTGACCTTATTTTCAGGGAAGTTATTGAACATTTTTCAAATTATCAATGCTCAGATTGTGCATGTAAAATTAGCATGCACTTTCTTATCTGATCAATAAACTTTTTGGCAAAGAATGCGTGCTAGTTAATATGAGCATTATGTCTATCACATGTCTTTGGCATGCCTGTAGCAGTTGTTAGGGAAGTTCCTTTCCATATTTAAGGTTAACTCATCAGTTTCTGTTGTCTTAATCGTGTGATTTGTGTTGGGGAAAACCTGAAATAGTGGTTGATGTACACTTTTTCAACTCTACAGAGGGATTTCATGGTGTGATGATTCTTTGGCTTTGGTATATGAATCATGGTATAAAACACGACGAACGAGGACATGGGTCATCTCTCCTGGAGATGATGATGTGAATCCCCGCATCCTATTTGATAGATCTTCAGAAGATGTCTACTCTGATCCTGGCTCTCCCATGCTGCGGAGAACTCAAGCTGGGACATATGTTATTGCCAATGTAAAGAAAGGAAGTGATGAAGGAAGATATGTTTTACTAAACGGAATTGGTGCTACGCCAGAGGGGAACATCCCATTCCTGGATCTATTTGAAATGTAAGTGTCTTACTTCATTTGTTTCCTGTATGTTATTTTGGCTTCTTACTTAGGTGTTGTGGTCTAAACCAAAACCTTACAGAAATACAGGTAACAAAGAACGAATCTGGGAGAGTGACAAAGAAAAAATTATGAGACTGTTGTTGCCCTAATGTCTGATCAGGAAGAAGGGGATTTGCATCTAGATCAACTTAAAATACTGACTTCAAAAGAGTCAAAGACTGAGAACACTCAGTATTACATTTTCACCTGGCCAGATAAAAAGGCATATCAGATTACAAATTTCCCTCATCCATATCCTCAGCTTGCATCATTGCAAAAAGAGATGATCAGATATCAAAGAAAGGATGGGGTTCAACTTACAGCTACATTATATCTGCCACCAGGCTATAATCCATCAACAGATGGCCCTTTGCCATGTCTGGTTTGGTCATACCCTGGGGAATTTAAAAGCAAAGATGCTGCTGGACAAGTTCGTGGTTCTCCTAATGAATTTGCTGGGATAGGTCCTACATCAGCCCTTCTTTGGCTGGCCAGAAGGTGTGGATTGCCTTTTCCTATTCTTGTGTGCTTTAATTCTTTCTAATTCAGTGTTATTTTCTCTTATTTGAAAGTGAATTGTGGCATGAGCTGGATTTTTCTTTGATTACTTTAAATCTTGCAGATTTGCCATTCTATCTGGACCTACTATTCCTATTATTGGTGAGGGTGATGTGGAGGCAAATGATACGTAAGTGAATTGTTATTGCCAAGTGATGTTTACCCTATGTTTATCACCAACATGTTCTTAAAGACCATTAGGGATCTTCTCTGGGAGGATCAATGCTTTGAGTGCTGTGGTCATT